CCCCTAGAGGATATGAGCTTTGAAGTGTGTGTGTGTGTGTGTGTGTGTGTGTGTGTGTGTGTGTGTTTCTCTTACAGAGTGTGCAGGTCGTCCAGGTTGGCATCACTCAGGGTTTGCTGGACGTCCACATGAACACATGCTGTCAAAGTGAACACATGAAGGACACAGGTATGAGGCTGGGCTCAGACTAATTAGCTGCTCAAAGAACAACAGAAACGGGAGGAATTTAAATAATAAAAATCTGCCATGAGTCAACAGATAACCCCAGGCACAGGCTTCATTCTCCTTTAAAAAGAAACTAGTAAAGTGGGGGTTGGGGATATTTGTTTGTCTTTTTTTCCTCCCCTCTGTTCTCACTTCAAAGAGCAAAACATATAAAGTACTCACATGTCTCTGGCTCTGAGGCGGTCTGCTGAGTGGGGCTGCAACACAGAAATGAGCTGAGAAGAAGAAAACTACTGGATGTCCTGATTTGTAAATATAAATTTCTTTTTCATCTTTTAAAAACCGTCCAGTGTAGCGAGAACGCTCGTTAACAAGCAGCTAAAGCCTTATTAAAGCTCTTACTGGCTCTCAGTGGATGGTGACAGGGTGTCCTCTTCATGGGCCCACTCCTCACTATCATCTGTGACTAAAAGAAAAAAAAAAACAGCAGCAGGCGTTTGGCAGCAGCTGTAAATTCATTTAGCTGCTAACAGAATGGTGCTGTCAGTCAACAGTTCACTGTGTTTTCATGTGAAGAGTGACAGAAAAACATCCAGTGAGCTGAAGCTGTTAAACACTCACAGCTGCTGGTTAGAGCTGGGTGGGTCGAGGATCTGGAGGGGGAAAAAAAGGAGGTAAATAAGGAGTTGAATGAAGTCGTTACGATGAGTGGGTAAAGAAAGTACCTGCTCCCATTACTGATGGTGTCTGCCTCCACGTTTCCTCCTCGGCCAGCAGCTTGAGCCTTTTTGCCCAGTTCTAACATCTCCTTCATATTTAGCTCCACATTCATCACTGAGATATAACCATCTGAAACAACGGAGGGCAAAACACTGAAATCCAGAGCACAGGACATTTATTCAAAACGGTTTCTTTTCAGTCCAAGCTGATGAGAAACTCACGCCTCGGCTTCAGATTTCTACATCTAATCTACAAAAATCTTTTTTTCTGGTTTTCAAACCCTGATTTTACTGTCAGTACGAACTACTTCAAAATAACTGGATAAAACCTGATTATTTCTGAAGAGACATTTAAAAGAGCCTGCAGATGCTTATGATACAAATAAAAGTCAAACAAAAAAAATAAAACAATCAAGTTTTAAGAAATTTGGCATAATACATAATTTGACACATTTTGTCACATAATGGCATTTTATTTTGGTACCTGGTACACAAAGTAACAAGTAGGGGTGTAAGAAAATATCGATACACTGGAATATCGCAATATTTCATTTCCCGATACTGTGTCGATATTCTAAAGCCTTGCATCTAGGCCTGTCACGATAACAAATTTTGCTGGGCGATTAATTGTCTCAAAATTTATTGCGATAA